GTGCCCTCACAACACCTGCTGTTTCCTCTGCCGGGCGATCCCTTCTCGCTGACTTTTACCTTGCTTATTTCTGCTCATCCTTCAGGCTCCAGGGTACCTTGCTGGTCTCCCTCACAGAAGTGTTCTACCTCTTACTTGCTGTGTGACCTTGGGCAAGTTACCTTTGCTTCACCTCCCTGAGCCTCACACCTCAGAGAGACACCCTATGTTAAATACTTAGCACAGTGCTCGGCAGACAGGAAATGGTTAACAAATCATTGCTGTTGTCACTGTTATTATCCCATATAATGATCTCCATCATAGCTCCTAGTACAGTTAGTAATTAGATATTTATTTGTAGAAAAATTAGAAACACCACCTTAGTTCCAACCTTAATACCTAACACTTTTCATGCTATTTCCCCACATACTGCATTTTTGGAGGGGAAGATGAAGTCAATGTTCACAGAGCAATTATTACCTCAATTAATTATTACATCAGAGACATGGTTTGGCAAACAAAGATACTGAGGCATAGAGAAGTTAAGTAACTGGGCAAGATCAAGAGTAGATTAGAATCCAAGCTGGCCTGACCCCATAGCCTGTGCCAGGTGTACGACAACAAAGGCCTCCCTAACTCGTGAACCTTGCCATCTAAGGGCAGCAAGACTGAGAAGATGGATCTCCACATTTACGTACATCCCAAAGGACTCCCAAGTATCTACTCTTCAGATCCTTAACCAGCCTAGTGTTCTAATCACCCCCTGTAAACCCTTTCAGCGAATATTCTTCCCCCTGACTGTGATGGTAAATTTCCTTACTTCCTTTCCACTGGATGTTGAACTGTTAAGGAGATGAATATCCTTCACCTCTTATACCCCTAGCAAACAGGAGGCATTCAATACATGTTTGCTGAATGAATTAAATGAAAATGTTGGAGAATATATTATGGCTACAAAGTTAGGGAGTGGCAGAGTTGATTTTCATAACAGTATTAAAGTTTGGCATAGTTAGGAACAAATCCGACAAGAATGATGACAAAAGGGGAGCCTATCTCAACCACTTTTACAATTGATAATGATTTCTATATCTAGCTCTAGAGATTTACATGTGAGTTACAAATGCATGCTTCACAGCTATAGGTAGACCTTACTCTACCTCTGGGGCCCTGTATCACCACCAATGTTCTGTTAGATCCCACAGCTACACCTGAACCATCCTTCATGACAGGAAGTCCTTGACAAATACCAATCTCTCATTGGTTACTCTCAAATGGTTCAGAAAAAGAACCAAAAAGAGCAAATTGGAGCAAACTGTTAATAAATGGTGATCTTAGGTAAACAGAATACGGGAGTTCTTTGTACTATTCAACTTTTTTGTAATAATATTATATCAAAGTAAAAAGGTTTTAAAATCTAAAAAAGAATAACAACAATAATTTTCCCAGGAGATTCCAACACACAAGGTCTAGTGTACTGGCTATGATGATATCATATTCTCGTCAGTTGTTCCAAAAAAACATACTCCAGGCTCGGGTTTCCTTGCCTATCAGCCAATATCAAGGGACGAAGAGCTCCTTGAGTAGCAGCCTTCAGCCATAGCTTCTGGGTTCTGGCAGAGATTAAATTACTTACTGCTTGAAGAGTATTAACAAACGCATAGGTATTTCCTATTGATCAAAGCCCTAGAACGATCTTCCCACTTTCTTCACTTGGCTGCCCTCTGAGTTTTTACTTTCCTTTTCCTAAGCTTAGCTAGGGGGTCAAATTCTCCCCAGGACCCTCCTGTCCCCCAAGAGGAGCACAGAGGCAGCTCTGATGGTAAGAGCTTTGCTGCTATTGTCTATGGAGAGCCCTACGGGAGGAGGGAAAAATAACTATAAGGGAGTCACAAAGGTTCCAGAAACAGAAAACTCAAAGCAGTGGTTACTTGGTCTGTAAAGACCACTTGCTAGCAGCCTTTTATTCATTCATCACTTCTACCCACTCATCCTAGAGCCTCCTCACCCAACAAACCAGAATGCTTCGGCTTTCCCAGCCACTGTAGCCGGAACAATAAGTAGAAACTTGTAAACCATTCAAGTGTCCCCATATTAGCCATTTCAGGAGAGTGCCAGATGGGTGTCACCCAACACCCAGCCCTCACCTATAAGGTGAGGAAAGTAAAGGTCATAGAAAGTTATCCCCTGATGAGAGATTTTCTTAATGTAAGCCAGCATATGAGCTCTACCTTCCTCAACTGCTGTTTTGTATAAGCTCCATGAGGAGGGAGGTGCATTATGTCCTATGATAACGTTCAACGTCTGTATTCCTGATGAAGGCTTACAAGGGCCCTCTGTAATGCCACATCTTCACGAACACCCGATGCCTCCTGCCTCCCCCAGTTCCCCCAAAATACTTGCCTAGTTCTAGCCAGACCTCAAAGTAGTGGGCAAAAAGAAGAAATGGCTTTGCGCAGCTTAGGGGAGAAATGGGTTGTTACGGTTGGTGGAACAGAAGGGAGAGAAAAGACAAGCATTATCAAAGGAGAGGATCATGCGACCTACAAACCTTCAACATCCTTTGTTCTTTTTTTTTTTGAGGAAGACTAGCCCTGAGCTAACTACTGCCAGTCCTCCTCTTTTTGCTGAGGAAGGCTGACCCTGAGCTGACATCCGTGACCATCTTCCCCTACTTTATATGTGGGACGCCTACCATAGCATGGTGTGCCAAGCAGTGCCATGTCCGCACCCGGGATCCGAACCCGTGAACTCTAGGCCGCCGAGAAGCGGAGCGTGCGAACTTAACCGCTGCGCCACCAGGCCGGTCCCCATTCTTTGTTCTTGAAAATTTCTTAACTCATACTTTTCACCTATGTTGAGAGCCCTGCAGCACCGCCTGTCCTGAGCCTGGGAACCTCCTCTACAGGCCAGAAGGTGGGTCACAGGCACCCCTAAGGCTGCTTCCAAGTCACTCCTGGCTCCCAGCTGAACACAAACACTTCAGGGAGCAGTGGGAGGCCCTTCTCCACCTTCCCCTACCTGCGACCAAGATTCACAGGCGAGAGGGCATTTACCACACTGCCAAGGCACAGCAACGTGACTCAGAGAAGAGGGAGACAGAAAGTGCGGATTCTAGAACCAGACCTGCACTCCTGAGTATTCCAGAAGTGACCGGATGAAGAACGCAAGGAACTGTTTCAAGGCAACAATATTGGGTTAAGAGCTCTTCTCTAGCAAACAAAACTGTAGAGAAGAGCACAGCTGAAGAAAAGGTGGCAATGATGGTAGTAGCTACCGCTGAGAAGCACTTCCCAAGGATCTCGTGTAAACCTCTTACCCTTTGAAGAGAGGTATTATCCTTTCAGGGCTCAAGTATTTAAGCTCAGAGCTCACTTTAAATGAAAAAGAAAATGATATGTTATGGAGGTAGAATACTCCTAGGCTAAACAAAAAAGAAAAAAAAAGTATTTTCACTTATCCGGAGAGTAATCACATGAAGCTATAAAAGTATGAGAACTACACTATTCAAAGGGTACAGAGGCCAGGATCCACATTCCCATTGTTTACAGATGTTATGAAAGTATTAAATTAAATAAAAACACAAAACTTTGTTCAAGCTGACTCCTTTCTCATCCCCCACCCCCCAACTCCCAGGCTGACAAGAAGTGGCTGCAGGGAATGTATTTAAGAAAACCACTCTGGGAAAGTGGATTCTGGGTTGCTTAAACTAAGCCAAGATGTTGTGCAACCAGTTTTTACCTAAATTATTTTCCATTACTTTCCGAGTTTAGAGAGAAGCAGTTATCTTTATCAGACTGAATACAGGGAATGAGGCCGCCTTCCCCTCCAGGCCACTGGAATCACCATCAACACGGTTTTGATTTCTTATACAATCAGCCAGCGGCGGGAGGGGCGTGGGGAATCTGCTCCTCAACTTCACAGATAAACGGATCTCACATGGGAAAAAAAAAAAAAACCCTCGTGCACATCTGAGGCCATGGATTTCCTTGCAACTCAGATAAGCCAGAGAAGCGGCCAAACAAGTTTCTTGCCAAAAGCCTAGGAGCTACATACGTCCCGGGGCTACACAACGATACCAACTTTTAAACACGCCTTCACATACCCCTGTTATGGTCACTCATTCGAGATCCCGCCCTCCTTTCCTCCTCGCAATAAACGCAGGTTGCCCCGTGCAATTTAAAGCCAGACTTCAGAGCCGACGCCGGGGCTCTGAAAAGCGAGAGGTAAAGATTGGAGGGAGGCTCTCTTCTGCTTTTCTTTTTCATCGATTGCCCCACGGCGAAGGGAATAACACCAACTCGACCGCTGGAGAAAAGTTAACTTTGCCGTGCCCAGCGGTGGGAAATTTTTCCCGTAAGACTCGCAAAGCCCTACTGCTTTTCCCACCCCCCGGAGCGCCCGGCGCCCGGCGGCAGCGGCGGCCCCGAGCGGCAGCGCCCGAACAATGACGGCAGGGGGAGGGAAAGTTCGTCAGCCCGCGGGGCGCCCCGCTCGCCGGGGGCCTCGCCGCTCCCCGCACCGCCGGCCCTCCTCCGCAGGCACTCGGTCCTTCCCGCCCCCCGCCCTGCAAACAGCCCGGGCGCGCCCGCGCTCCCCGGAGCATCCGGCCCCAGGCGGCCCGCGGGGCAGGTCCTCCCGCCGCGGGGCTCACGCCGGGAGCCCCGGGACCCGGCAGAGCACGGGCGGAGGGGGCGCCGGGAGGGGGCACCGGAGGGAAGAGCCGGAGCAGTTATGGCGCTCAGTCGCTGCCCGAGCGGAGCTGCCGCGAGCCCGGGCGACCGCCCCCGACCCCCGCACGGCCCCCGGCCCTGCCCCGGCCGGCACCGGGGCCGCCGGGCACTTCACCTCAGCCCACACACGCCCACAGCCCGCAGCCGCCGCGCACGCCCGAGGCGACCGCGACTCGGAGCCAGCGACCCGGCAGCGCGCTGCGAGGCTGACCGGGACGCCCGCTCCGACTCCCTGCGGCCGCCACTCCCACCGCCCGGGCGGCGCGCCGCGGCCCCCTCAGGGGCGCCTACCTTCGCGTGGCTCGTCGCGGCGCCTTCCCGGCTCCACGCTCGAGCCCGGCAACGTGCCGGGCGAGTCCAGCAGGGGAGGTACCCGCCCCCTAACCGCTCGCTTTCTTCTCTCCCCTCCCTCGCACCTGCCCCCTAATCTCCTCCCCGCCCCCGCCCCCGCCCGACCCGCCGGGGCCGCCCCCTGCGCCGCAGCTCCCGCCCTCGGCTCCCGCCCGCCGGGCCCGTCAGGCCTCCGCGCTGGGCAGGCGGTTGGGCGGCGGCGGCGGCGGCGGCGGCGGCTGAAGCGGCGCCGAGCACTATTGTATTCCTGACACTGTGCGCTCCCACGCTCCGCCTCTTCCCCTTCCTCCCTCCCCCCACTCACTCCCCCCAACCCGCCGGCCGCGCTCGCCCTACCCGACTGGCTCCCCGCCGTCCGCCCGCCGCGCGCTCTTCTGGCGGGCTGGGCGCCACAGCCAGCGCCGCGCGTCCCGAGGCCCCGCCCCCTTTTGCTCCCGCACCCGCCGCGGCGCCGGGCTCCAGGTGGGTTCCCCGCGGCTTCCGCGGCGCGCGTGCCTTCCAGGAGGAGCCTCGACCGGCCGAGTGCCAGAGAGGGCGGCGGGGAGGTTCCTGGGCTGCGGCGAGAGACAACTAAGCTTTCATGGCCCCTTTCAACTCTGAAGTTCTCTAAGTGGACCCTCGTGTATTCAACTCGTTGTCCAGCCACTGTTGATTTAAATCGTTTGCGCTTGGATTACCTCTGAGAATAAAGCCCAGGTGGCTATCATATCATAGCATAAACTTATTCAATTGTAAGACAAATCGTTGATGATGTCGTGTGGCTTTTTGATGTGTCAACTTGGTTAGGCTCCAGCCCCCCGGTTTTCAATCAAGCACGAATCTAGGTGTTGCTGTGAAGAGATTTTGATGTGACTAAAGCTCCTGATCAGTTGACTTAAAGTCAGGGAAACTACCTTGTATAATCTGCGTGGGCCCCATCGTTCCTTTCTGACTGCATGCCCTGCAGATTTTGGGTTTGCTTAGCCATCCCCACAATTGTGTAAGCCATATATCTCGTAATGAATGAATGAAAAAGCAAATTATATACGTATGTATATATACACACAGCCGCAGTCATGCCTCACTTACCCCCGGGATATGTTCTGAGAAATGTGGCGCTTTCATTGTAGTGTGCACTAAAGGGGAACAGAACTTGCTACCTCAAAATGTCTCTTTAACATGAGGATTATTTTGAAGAAACAAAAGACAAAGTTTTTCTTGTTACCTCCCCCTTAACTGCCTAAAAGAATTCAGATTTAAAAACCTGTCTCAGGATGCGAGCTATCACCTTAGCATAACGGGAATTAGATGGTAGACAGGGAGGAACCTAGAAAAGCCTGTTTGTTGGGTTCTCATCTGTGTTCTTTTACTTCTCATGTCGGTTTAATTCTTAGACCAGCTGGAAGAACCTCGAAGGGTAGAGGAAAATTTCTTCCTCCCCTACGGTACTTAGGCAAATCTAGATGGTATAGCTTACTACACACCTAGGCGCTATGGTACTAATCTTATGAGACCATGGTCACATATGCAGTCCATCGTTGACCATAACGTTATTATGCAGCCTGTGACTATATATATATTGTCCTGTTGGTCTGCCTCTCTGGTGGAATCCTGCCTCATATAGATGTTTAAGCAACAAATCCTTTTTGATTTACTACCAGGGTTTGAATATGTACCATGTGGAATTACTATGAACTCATATTGTCATTTTCATTTACTTTTCTAGGCTAAACAAAAATGTAGGCTCTTTTATATTTTGTCTGTTTTTCATATCGAAGATGTAGTTCTATTTCATAATATGCAAATATGTGAGTTCTAAAATATTCACAGTCCTTCAGACTTACCTCATTCTATATTTACATATAAATATATAAATATGACATGTATTATACATATTATGTTATATAATTATATATTAATATAATACTGTAATAATACATATAATTATATTTAATAATTTATAATTTATATTATATATTATAAATATAAAGATATTTATATATACCTCATTATACTCAACTCATTTTGAAATGTTAACTTAAAAAGCAAATTCACTAGTTATTTTACCCTCAAAATGAGTTTATTGGGAAATAGCCAAAAGAATTGCGATTCAGGATGTGCATGCTATGGTGAACCATAAGCAAATCCAGAGAGACAAAAGAAGGGGCTTGCTTTTGTAGGGCAAAAGGGGTAGTAGAGAAGGGCTGTTCTAAAGGAAAGTCCATTGGAGGAAAGTAGCAGTTCACGGTGGTGACAGCTTCTCGTTCGCTGAGCTGTGGCGTTTCTCATTGGTTGCACTGTTGCTGGGCTTAGAGAGAAATCTTCCTTCGGTAGTAAAGTAGTTGTACTTCCTGTTGGAAATGCAAGCATGGATCTCTTTCTGTTTGGAGTAATTGATGATGTATCATAGGGCATGAGAGCTTCCCCTACAGGCCTTCTGGACTCCAATTTAGTTGAGGTTTCTTTTATTGATATCACAGAAATAATTATAGCTTCACAGGATCCGTAAAAAATATTACAGAAAAGTCCCATGTATTCTTCACCCAGTTTATCCCCGTGGTAATATCTTACATAACCAACATATTGACCTTGGTACAATCCACAGACCTTATTCAGATTTCACCAGTTTTACATACTCATTTCTGTGTCTGCATATATAGTATTATGCAATTTTATCACATTTGTAGATTCATGTAACCACCACAATCAACTATTTCTCCATCACAAAGATTCTTCTTGCTACCCAATATAGTCACAGTCACCTCCTCCTACTCTAACCCCTGGCAACCCCTAACATGTTCTCTATCTCTATAATTTTGTTATTTCAAGAATATTATGTAGATAGAATCATACCTTTTGAAACTGGCTTTCCTTTACTGAGCATAATTTCCTTGAGATCCACCCAAGTTGTAGGCATCAATAGTTCATTCCTTTTTTTGCTGAGTAGTAGTATTGCTATGGTATGGATGTACTATATTTTGTCCACCCATTGAAGGACATTTGGGTTGTTTCCGATTTTTGCCTGTTAAGAATTAAACTGCTATGAACATTCATGTAGAGTTTTTTGTGTAAACATAAGTTTTAATTTCTCCAAGACAAATACCCAAGAGTGTAATTGCTAGTTCGGATGGTAAGTGTAAGTTTAGTGTTAGAAGAAACTGCCAAAATTTTCCAGGCTCTCTCTACCATTTTACATTTCCACCAGCAATGTATGAGAGATCCAGTTTCTCCACATCTTTGCCAGCATTTGGTGTTGTCACTGTATTTTTATTTTAGCCATTCTAATAGGTGGGATATCTCTTTGTTTTAAATTGTATTTCCCTGATAGCTAATGATGTTGAGCATCTTTTCATGTGCTTATTTGCCATCTGTATATCCTCTTTGGTGAAATGTCTGTTCATGTCTTTTGCCCATTTTCTAATTGTATTGTTTGCTTCTTACTGTTAAATTTTGAGAATTCTTTATATATCCTAGATACAAGTTCTCTGTCAGATATGTGGTCTGAAAATATTTTTCGCAGTTTGTAGCTGGTCTTTTCATCCTTTTAAGAGATTTTGCACACCAGAATTTTTAATTTTGGTGAAATCCAACTCATCAATGTCTCCATTTATGTATTATCCTTTTGGTGTCATGTCTAAGAAATTTTTTGCCTAGCCCCAGGTCCCACAAATTTTCTCTCATATTTCCTTGTTATAGTTTTATATTTTACATTTAAATCCATGATTCATTTTGAATTAATTTTTGTATAAAATATGAACCTAAGGTCGAGGCTCATATTTTTGCCTATGGAATTTTTTATTAAAATGACTATCTTTCCTCCATTGAATTGCTTTTGCACCTTTGTAAAATCAGTTGGCAGGGGCCAGCCCCCTGGCCAAGTGGTTAAGTTCGTGTGCTCCACTTTAGTGGCCCAGGGTTTTGCTGGTTCGGATCCTGGGCGCGGACATGGCACCGCTTGTCAGGCCATGCTGAGGCGGCGTCCCACATGCCACAACTAGAAGGACCCACAACTAAAATATGCAACTATGTACTGGGAGGATTTGGGGAGAAAAAGCAGAAAAAAAATATTGGCAACAGTTGTTAGCTCAGGTGTCAATCTTAAAAAAAAATCAGTCGGCATATTCGCATTGGGCTATTTGTGTGGGGCTACCTCTCGGTTCTCTGTTCTTTTCTGTTGTTCTATGTGTCTATCCCTCTGTGAATACCAAACAGTTTTGATCACTGTAGCTGTACAGTCTTAACATTGGATAGAGTGATTCCTCCCACTTTATTCTTCTTCAAAATTGTTTTTAGCCATTCAAGGTCATTTGCCTTTCCATATAAATTTTGGAATGAGCATGTCTGTATCTACAAAAACCTTGCTGGGATTTTGATAGGAATTGTGTTAAATCTTTAGACTGATTTGCAGAGAATTGACATCTTTACTATACTTAGTCTTCCAGTCCATGAACACAATATGTGTGTCTCTCCATTTATTTAGATCTTCTTTGATTTCCTTCATGAGCATTTTGGAATTTTCAGCATACAGATCCTGTAAGTGCTTTGTGAAGTGTATACTGTATTTCATTTTCTTTGGGGTGATTGTAAATAGTATTGTGTTTTAAATTTCAGCTTCCTCATTCATTGTTCATTATTAGTGTATAGAAATGCAATTAATTTTTGTGTTTTGATCTTGTCTCTTTTGACTTTGCTGAACCCATTTATTAGTTCTAGGAGTTTTTTGGTAGATTCTTTGGGATTTTCCACATAGACAATCATGTTCTCTGTGAATATCGACAGTTTTGTTTTTTCCTTTCCAATCTATATGCCTTTTCCTTTCTTTGCTTGCCTTACTGTGCAGGCTAGAACTTTCAGTACTATGTTGAATAAAAGTGGTGTGAGCGGACATCCTTCCCTTGTTCCCTGTCTCAGGGGGAAACAGTCCATCTTTCATCATTAAGAAAACTGTTAGCTGCAGGGTTTTTTGTAGATGTTGTTTATCAAGTTGAGAAAGTATCCTTCTATTCATAGTTTGCTGAGAGTTTTCATCATGAATGAATGCTGAATTTTGTCAAATGCTTTTTCTGCATCAATTGATATAATC